GACATAAAGAATGAATACATGTAATTTAAAGATTCAAAGTGCTATGACTGTGATAGTTCACTTTCATCTAATATTCCAATTAAATTAGCTTAATAACAATAATAATAAAGCTTTCAGTATTGAAACCAATTTTTATGCTCTAATTCTATTCAATTTATTTCATGAAATGAATTATAAATACAATTAAAATGAGGTAATGTGATCATTCATTCAGAAATCAACAAACTAAGTTTTATGGGGAAAAAGAAAGAAAAAACATATTTTAGATCAATCATTTCAACAGTTCTAAATGAATTTCGATTGATATCATTGATTGATAGTCTTATCATAATAATAAGAAATGATAAAACAACTAAAAATGTAAAGTAAGATTTATCTTGTTTAACAATCAACTATTAAATTGCTTATTGAAGAAGCAAAAGATCATTCAATGAAGCGTGTACACAAAACATGAAGTGGATATTTCTTGAGAGGATAAAATAAAGATGATATATTTATTCAGAATATCTGGGATTTTGATTAATGGTTGGTTTAATTTGAAATATAAATTAGATACAGGCAAAGATTATTAACAAATAGGCTTAAAGAAATATTTTTATAAAGTTGTACTATATAAAACTGAGTGTTTCACTGTACAAAAGTGTTTTTTAGTTACCTCGTTTAAATATGTCTGTTGATTACAAATGAAAGTTCACCTACTAACAAAAAAGTTTCACTTACTTACTTACTTACGCCTGTTACTTCCAATGAAGCATAGGCCGTCGACCAGCATTCTCCAACCCACTCTGTCCTGGACCTTCCTTTCTAGTTCTATCCAATCGCTGTCCATTCTTCTCACATCCGTAACCATTTCTCGGCATAATGTGTTCTTTTCCTTTGGCCTTCAGGATTCCATGTGAGGGCTTGTTTTGTGACGCAGTTGGGTGATTTCCTACACGTGTGTCCTGTTCACTTCCAGAGCTTCTTCCTGATTTCTTCCTCCACCGAAATCTGGTTTGTTCTCTTCCAAGGTAGAATGTTGCTGATAGTTTCTGGCTAACGGATCCGAAGTATCTTGCGTCGACAACTGTTAACAAACACCTGTAACTCTTGGATGACGGCTTTCGTAGTACTCCAAGTTTCCGCATTAGTTTAAATACACCGTTTTTTTGTTCAGTAATCATTAGTTGTGTGTAACAGGATGTTCCAAGTAGCATCTCTTTATGTCCTCATTAAATTGTAAAGCATTTGGTCGTTAAAACATTTTGTAAATTATTATTTTGTAATGTTTAACTGATTTTCCCTTCAAACAGTTTTAGGATCTCAATGAAGAATGATATATAGTCTCGGCACAAACAATCCAGTCTGTTAATTCACTATGATCAAGAATCCAGTTATACCCATGTTTTTACTTGATACATCAAGCTTTCTCCGGCAAAAATGATCTAGTTATCAACTGATAACTACTATACTTTGAATTCACTTCCTTAAATAAGGATAACGGAACATTCACTGGAATTTAGTATCCGGTTTTAACGTGATTAGCTAGATTTAATAATGACATCTATCTAGCAATTTTTCAAAACTGCTAAATATTTGACTTATTAAACGAAATACTTAATAATTATACATCGATTTTGTGCTTAGAAATACAACCAAAACAGTTTGTTACCTTTTTAGTTTTGGCTTAATTAGTTTAACTTAAATATTTCATCTTTTCAATTCAGCGTGTACTGTATGTTTTATTTTATCGTTGTTAAGTCCTTCACGTAAAACCTAACTTTCTACTACTTTATTGTGATTGTTAAATGCTTAGGTAGTTTGTAATAAACGAAACATTAAAGTCGATCAGTTACTAAACATCTGCAAACCATAGTGTTAATATATTCAAATAAGCACTTAGATTATTTTATTGGGCGTGATTTTTCATTGAATTTTCAATTATACAGTAATAAAAATAGAACAATTAAAATATTTAACCAATCATTTTGAGCCTGGATTAAATTGAAATTCGCGCCCTAAGATCCCACATTATTTAAGATTAACAATTCACAAGCATGGTTTTAAATATATCAAAAACCATACACTTGAATAACATGGTATAAAGGAACATCAGTAGTTTAAAATGTCTGGCTAAATTAAAATGTGTTTCCATGTTTTAACTGAAACTGATAAAACACTATAAATGGTAAAAATAAACGGTTTTAAATATTCTTTGTACATCTACAGTTTAACCTACTATGTATAAAGATATTGAATTTTATAACACATAGGATAAGAGAGATAAGAACAAGAATACTATGTCAATTGCTATCTGATACTCTGTCTTCTGGACATTAGGATTATACACATACCTTTGTGTAATAATTAATCAATACACTATGAATTAATAAACAACTGTTAGCGCAACAATGCAACACCAAACAATTATTCATACCTAACATTTTATTACTTGGTAACTAACCACACATTCCACCAAACTATAAAATAATTTCATTCCTTATTTTCACAACCTCTTTGATATATATTTTATGCTTACTTCCATGTTTTTTAATCTCTTATTCTATCTACCTATATATATACAACGAAAAACTTCCGTGTTATAACAGTGTAATAAACATTAATAAACTAAAGAAAGCAACAAATGAGCTACTTCTTTGTAAGAAAGAACATTTTCATGTGATCAGCTAATTAGATGATTGTGAATCAGTTGTCAACTATTAGTCCAATCATATTCCATATATTATTTAGAGTCTCTTTAATATGACGGAATTTTTTCATATTTGACATAGAAACAATTGTATCTACTCTTTGTTATATATGCATCAAATTGCAGTTATAAATGTGTAACACATTTGAATCTGGTTATTTTATTGTCACCTTTATAACTTGTAAACATTAAGGCTATTTCACTTAACCAAGAAAATGTGAATCCAGTACTTAAAAATTGATTAACTGAATAGCTAATTTTCAATTTCTATCGAAATGTTAACTTCTTACATGCTGCTTTTAATATTCATGCTTAATATTCATGCTTTTTTAATTTTGAAACATTCAAATATTTGATGTAGATTTTTGTGAATATTGAGGAAAATGTCATCTTTTATCATTCCCATTATCTCTGAGTATAGTTTGAAGAAAACGACATTTTAAAAGAAATTTCAATAATGTTTCTTTTTCGGTGGCCCTAAATCATATTCCATTTGGATCGTTTCTGATTTCTATTGAGATATACGTACCGCTGATCCTGTTATATAACCATCAATTCCAATCGCACTGGTGAATAACGGAATTAAATAATTCAAATACGAGAATCGATTTTTGAATATGTATATTTTGTACACTCTGGACAGACAATTATAAGGATGAAGCGAAAGAAATGAAGAGAAGAGAGCGAAGCGAGGTGATGCACAGTGGAGAAGGCGTGTGAACCAACTCGATTTAGCCAAACATTAATCGATATTTGTAGTCAGATAAAAATAAGTTACGAACATGTGATAAATAGGATAAGAAATGGACACACATAAATTCATATAAAAACAATCAAGGTTAATAAGCGAATAATTGACATGGTCAAATTGTGACTCAAGAAGAATGAATAGATTGGCCTGTTCAGAATCTATAATAAGTAATATGGACTTAATACAGTAACTGACACTACACTGTATTTCATGTATCCATAATGCAAGTACAGTTAATACAATCGTTGTAAATGTCACTATAAATGGTAAATTCAGACGCATAAATAAAATAGCTATTAATAGATGTTAAAAGATAAAACCTAAACTGCTTAATCCATAAACTTGGTCACATGTAGTTAAATAAGACGACTAAATATGATCAAAACATAAATAATAATAATTTTACTCATTTTGTTACGTAACCTCAACTCATTGTAATTCAACTGGTTGTCGTAGATATTACTATAAATAACATGACTGTAAGAGAATTACTAAATATCTTAGATTTGATTCAAAACACTTTATAAGAATCAACTTAACAAATAAAAGGCAGATTAGATGAAAGAATACGTAGACAGTAAAATTCTATTTCTTAAAGTGTTACTTATTATAACCTGTTAATAGTAATATAATATTTTTTAAAGTGTATTTTATACGAAATCATTTTATTGATAGATTACATTATTGCTTATTCACAGAATTACATAAATAAACTATTTTACATACCATTTTCAATATATAATGTATCAATTGAAGTATTTAAGAACTACCATACATGTATAACATTACCTGGTAATAGCAAAGATGGATAGTGGCTAGCAGTGGAATCCAGAACGCGCGTTTCGTCCTATTTGGGACTCGATTCCACTGCTAGCCACTATCCATCTTTGCTTATAAAGCTTGTGACTTTAGGCAATATCGAGGCAGTCCGCAGAGGACGCACATATGCCAACAAGAGACTGATCAAAGAGAATTACCTGATAAGGTTTTATTATAAATAAGAATAAATTTTTAATGTTTTATTTAGGGTAAAGCTAAAATGTAACATAAAGAATACTCTAAAAGAACTCAATTCAAAAATATCCGTATTCTTATATTTCTTCTATTAAATGGTCATTTTTCTTTTTATGGTAAAGCATAACTAGTCTTAAGTTATCGACTACTTGCTTATAGGAATTATTAAACAACGAACATTTTCAATGGAAAATAAAGCCAATAACCTTTTAATGTGGAATCAATTCTATGTATTTCATGCTGTAAGTTCAAACAGATTAGTATAGTAGTTTAATTAAAAGAGTGATAGGTATATTCCATTCTTAATATAGACCATTATAACATTATAACCAAATCATATTAAACATAACATCTATTCTAGATCAATCCTAGTCCAAAAACAAATCTTCTTCTACACAGTCTGAAAATGCATCTGAAACCCATTTGTTTAGTGGTTCTGTCAAAATAAATATTATCTATTCCATGTACAGCAATATATTGGTACTAACTATATCGAATAAACTAAAAACTAGGTTCATATTGACTGAATTAAATTCATTGACTTACAGCACAACGTGGTTGAAAGTTTTCTTTCCAACAATTTGCACAAAATGGATCATCATTTTTCACATGAAATGATTGATCAGCTAATGTTCTTTTACAAATGGTACATACAAAACATTCAGGATGCCATTTTTTATCTAATGCACTTAAAATGCTTCCACTTGTAAATGGTCTAGCACACTTTGCACACATCATCGTTGACATGATAAAATAAGGTTTTAATCGAAATAATAAAATTTATTAGCTAACTCCAACTATCAACAAAGAAAACCAATAAGAAAAAACGATAATACGAAATGTTTCTTTCCAAGTCAATGTTTTATTCCCTTTTTATCATAACTTATAAATCAATGTTATTCGTTGTTTTACACTGAATATGCAATACACCAAATATTCTAAAATTATAAAACTTTTAACCAATCATAAGTTACATTCTAAATGAATATTATTCTTATAGGATAAAATAAAATATGAAGATACATGTGTCTCTTCCATATATTTTCTAATGGACAAAATATGCAACCCTAATAAAAATACGTTTTATCCACTTGTACCCCGGATATTAAATAAAGTCTAGGTCAACGTGGGCAGAATGGTATTGGTGATATAATAAGTATTCTGTCATATTGATGATATTGACTTCCTATAGAAATATTGAAATCCAATTTGTATGACATTTATGAATAAAGTCATAAGTGAATCGCTTGATTGAGATCATTCATTTTTCCTTCATTCCTTCTTTGTTAAAGATTTACTCATTTGTTGCATTAGTGGACTATACTAATTACTTGTGAAACCCATGGTGTCTTCAAGAGAGGATTATAAAATTTTTACTTAGCTATATCGGTATTTCATTTAGAGACAATAAATTAAGACTAAACATAATACCCTATCAAGTCATGTAGTCAGTATGTTCCATTACTCAACTAGCAAAATGGACATCTTTGTAGGTTAAATTCAGTCTGAGAGCAGTATTCTAAATTATGTGTGAATTAAAACAATTTCCAGAAAAATAAGGCTACTTTTTCAAATTTTAAAATATGCTCATTTTCTTTCCATATCATAGAGTATCCCCTACTTACTTCCATCCAGCCCAAAATATCCTTTAATCTAAACATATTATTTTGGCATATTTGAAATATTAAAGTCGAGACAGAGGTCATCCATTTTGATCACGGCTATTCCAAATATCATGTCATAATATTTCAGCTTAAATAGTTATATTAGTAACGTTTTATGTTATTCCATATATTTTGCTGTAAAGTTTAATCATATACTGGGGTTTCTGCAGAAAGTTCTTGATATGTATAGTTAAACAAAAACTGAAACCTCAAGTGTTAGGTATGAATTTCATATCTTCATCAATTATTAATAAACTTTAAACTTATTATTGCATTTACAAAAATTATTCAAGTTATGCAATTTTGTTTTTTATTCTTTTTACTTAGACTGTATAGACAAATACTATAGTCAGAAGGGCTTTTGTGAAGATTTCAGTATTTTCATAGTTGAAAGCATGAGTCAATGGAAACTAGACAACCAAGAAAAACCTGGAAGCACGAGGCTCGAGACTGGTAGGTCCTGGGTCCGAATCTCGTGAGGCGGGATCGTGGACGCACACTGCCGAGGAGTCCCACAATATAACGAAACGGCCATCCATTGCTTCCAGGTTTTGCATGGTGGTCTAGCTTCAATGAACTCATGATTTCAACTATAAAAATACTATAGTCTTTCACGAATCTGTACATCAAATATTGGACCTATCTTTTACAATTAATTGTGAAAAAGCCTATGATTTTGACGATGCAAGAAAATATGATGAGAATAAATTACTATCTGGTTACAAACTGTTGTCATGAGATTTGGTTTAGTTCACTGACAGCGTTAAAATAAAAATGTCCTGAAATTTATTAGTTACAGATTATAAATTTTGTGATATAGTTTATAAAACACAAACTTTAAGTAATACATCAGAACTATGTGATTTTCCAAGTCATTCTTAAGACTGAGCATCTTATGAATCAATAAGAAGATTGTGCATTTTAATACGTATCACTTAGTATAAATATAAAAAACAGAGTGATTGAACGTGTGTTTTTGCTTAAAGATCCCTATTATCAAAATACTAATGAAAGTAGTACTTATACTGATTGAAATTATGAGTAAAAACACGCTTTCACTAAATATTTACATCTAGTCATCATCTTTGTTTTCGAAATCTCGGATCACAGTGTGATCCAGTGTGATTTCATTCATTACCTTTGGTAAATAAAGTTTTCCTGTTTACTTTTCTATTGTTCTTGTTATTATTTTCATTCATTTGTTTTACTTCTAATGAATCACATTTCACTGTAGTGCTATGAAATGTGATAACTAACACTGATTCACATTTATGCACAGGTAGTAATAATCAAATTCAGTATGTTAACTATTTATTCTCAGAACAGCTGAATTCGTACTCAAGTAGTTATGATATACTAGTATTCAAGTCAGAGAAAACTCCGTTAGCCCAATGAAAGTTACTGTGTTTGGAATTTAAATTAAAAGCAGAATAAAGTACAAAAGAATTATCAGTACATACAAATATGATATGAGGTCATATGTTGACTAAATTAAAAGTCAATCATGAACGTTGGTAAAATTGCTGCGTCGAATGGAAGTTATGGAAGCAAACTTCATCCTTCGGACACATTTTGTTAAATATATATATATGAAACAACCATTTGAAAATTATCAAACGTCTAAGATCACAGGTTGCTAAGGTTCACTAAGTGATATGATGTACCATTTGAAACATATGCTCTATGTGAATTCGAATTTTGATGGTATTACAAAGACTGATATGGAATATAATTTTATCTCTCACAGTATTATTTCAGGTTTCATATGTTCTCACGTTTATTATCAAAGTTTATGTTTAACTTATATAATTTTTATTTTCATTTGGACAAAAAAAATTTAGTTTTGTCATTCAAATTAATCAAAAATTATTACAATATGACAACGTCATATGTTTATAACATAAATTGTCCTACTCACATATTTATTGTCAAGTGATATATCATTGATCCTAGTCTTTCATAGGTAAAAATATTACATTAACCTAAACTGAAGATATAAAAAAGTATTTTAGTGAACGAGAACACAAGTGGGGCAATCGAATGTATCTGAACACGAAATTACAGAATATCTTAATAAAATCAGAGAACCATACAATAAATACTTCATTTGCAAAATGTCAATCAGTCGTCTCGGACTTCATTGTTCTTCCGTTTCCACACCAATCATTCTCCGTTCTCTTTCTGTTACCTTTGATCTTCTTAACCTTCTGCCTCCAGACATTTCTATTTCGGTTGATGATATATACTACTTATATCTATCAACATCAGTAGCACACACCATAGTATATGTGAAATTTCAAGTACAAAAAAGTATATCTGTTCAAATTCTAAAGTAGTAACTTATTTCACGGTGCTCAAATAATTCTTCTTTAAAAACGTTTTCTACTGGATCAATTTGAGACGAAACCAAAAATATCTTAAAATTGTCTAAATACACTCATTTAAAAAACATTGTCCTACTCATTGTGAGTTCTTTTCAATTTTGTTACAAAATGTAGTAAACGTCAGTGTCTTTTAACTGTTCTATCTAAAAGCCTTCCAAATTTCGATTAAAGTAACGCATGATTTGTCAAGTGGTTAATGCATAATTACATGGAAAGAAATCTATGTTTTAAAAATTCTTAATCCTGACATCATAAAATCATGCTATAATAACTTTTAAAACAAAATCCTTTCTATAAAACGCATAATTTAGACAGAAACAAATGAATATTTGTTAAGACCTTGTCTAGCTCACTGAGAAAACTATTTTGCTCCTACTATGGTGAAAGAAGACTTGGTAGGAATGAGCGATGTATTGTTTACTGCAAAATTACAAAGTGGCTTCACAAAATATAATAAACATACATTAAATAGATCATTTGCAAATCTTCCATGAATTGTCTGTTGCAAACTTCTTCGTTTCTTCATCTTTGTTATTATTTTGATTGCTTTCACTCTTCTTCCCTCTTCTTTTCATTATAATCTACTCAATCTTCTGCTTACAAGTGTTCCACTTCCCGATTAGTGCTACATATATACATAATAAGTTCTTTTCTGACAAACCTAAATGATTCTCTGACTAGTTTCTATTTCTATGTCGATTTAAATAGCAGTTTAGTTCTCTTAAATCAGCTGATAGTTATTCATCCAGAAAATAAATAAAATTATTGAATATAATTTATTTTGATAGTACTCGGGTTATCATCTATTTTCAAAATGTTTCATAACAAGTAAGGACTAATAAAACGGCATGCAGGATGAACTTTTAAACACCTCAAAGCAAATAATTTAATCCCTATTTCAGTCAAAAAGCTTTTCCAGAACTCCACGCAGTCGGTATTTCTGAACACTCTGATACAAAATTTTCACAAACTAGCCAGTTTTCGAACTTGCTTATTTACTTAACATATCAACAATTACAAGTCTCGCTGTTTTCTCGGCTTGCAACTAACAATCATTTGCTAAAACAAAACTGTTGTAATCTCTTATTCAGACTGCTTCAAGTTGTTTTAATTCTTGATCCGGCATATCTTTCTTTAACATTTTTATCACTGCATATTTCAACTTCCGTCATTATTAACTCATAAACCTATAATTAAAATGTTCTATATTGTTTTGAAGTACACTTATAATTATTTCATCATTTACAAATTTCCATTCTAACTTTTCGTTTAAAGATTATGGACTTCATGAATTACTATATGTCTATAAATTCACTGTTTTCATATCTTAACCATACTAAAAACATTTCAAATATTAGCATTCTTTTAAGCTGAACCGGATGACTAAGACTCAGTAGACGCCCGACTTTGAGATCAACAGGCTATATTCCGTAAGGATCAGTCGTGCACAGACCAAATTACAACACTACGGATTATCGTTGCACAATCAGTTGAGTAGAACTCGTCACTATATATCAACTTCATTGACTATGAGGCGTTCCTATCCCATACACACGAACAAATGCAGACGAAGACATCTAGTGTAGCAGTAGCCTCTGCATCAATAGGCTTCAACATACACAAGGGAAAAAGCAAGATTTTCAAATACAACATAGAGAACGCCAACTCAAACACACTTGATGGAAAAGCTCTGGAAGAGGTAGAAATTTTCACATACCTAGGTAGCATCATCAATGAGCAAGGAGGATCGGATGCAGACGTAAAGACAAGGATTGGGAAAACAGGGACAGCAGCCCTACAATTGAAAAACATATGGAACTCAAAACACT